ATTTTACTACCAGTAGTAACAATTATTTTTGAAATGTTTAGGTCCAGCATCTTCCTGGCATCTACCAGACATTGCCAGTGGTCCCCTTTCAGAGGAACAGGATATATGGCCACAGTGCACACTGATAAGGGGACGAACAGGCTCACAAATTCCATGGACATGTCAATTTTTAGACAAAGAACATATCAATTTTGTGATTTTCATACAAGGTGGCATGGGCTGCATAGGGAGCCAGTATTTTATACATGAATTCATATTTTTTGACTTCATTGTGCTTGTTGCATGTTATGTAGGTGCTGTGTTGGTATATAACAATACCAAGAAGTGTCACTTTGTGTAATTAAAGAATTTGAAAATTAATTATGAAAATCATTGTGTTCCAGAAACACTGGGTTGATTCAGAAACTCAAAATTGAGCCTCTAGGAAGTTAAATATTATTTTTAAATTTGACAAGAAAACTATAATTCACTTTACAATTTAAAGATGACAAACTTAATTGGCATATCTTACAAGGTGGTTCTAAGATTTTTAGTCCAAGGGATATTGATGGCGTTTTGCTGTAGGGACTGGACGCGGCACCTTGCCAGTTTGTGAAGAAGTTCATGATAGAGATACACACGTTGTTCCATTTGATAGTTACTCAACAAATACTCAGGTTTAATATACTACACATATATACTACACATAGTGCCAATTTGACCAAGTTTTGTGATATTTATGTGTCACATACCATGGAAATAATGATCTTAGACTAATGGGAATCATCTGAGATCACCCCAATCTAGGGACTTGGATGTAAAATCAAGCAAATTTTTGAAGAAAGTGGGTTTAGAAATAAAAGCAGATTTGCAAATGAAGTGCAGCAAAAAATAAAAACTGGCAGACTTAGGGTGCTTTCCCAGAGATTTAGATCGATCTAAAGATTAAGTTTTAGATCGACCTAACTCCCTGGGGGTTCATGCTAAATTGCAGCCAGCCGAGCGGGCACCATAGTTAATTACCCCCTTACAGCTTTTAGTAGGCGGGACAGACGCTTAAGCCGGCCAAGCTGACAGAAATCTAGTGAGACTCCCCACAGGGATAGATTGATCTAAAAATCTATGGAAATGGGGTGTAAATCTACAGACAATTTTCTGGTTGTTTTCTCTCAAAGTCAGTTGTCTTTTATTTAACAGTACATTTTTTGTCATTTTTGTTGTGCTTTTAATACAAGCCAACATTCCTGGTGCATGTAGTTTCACCCTTATTGCTGAAAAGTTAACTCTGCCTGAGGCGGATTCTCACACATTTTCTTGTGTTGTATGATGTGATGCATTGTCAACAGTCTCATTTTTGGCTATCTTGGATGATTTCCATTTGCGCAATTGTAAGAGTTTGTACTAAAATGATCTCGTTATGATTCAGTCTTTACAATGTACAATNTGCATTTTATAGAGCTTGTCAAGCACAAGACTGGTGGTGGTGTTCATTTTTTGGGGTTGGGGTTTCCATGAGAATGCGCTTACTCCAGCTGGTGGTACAATATCCAGAGGCGGTATCGCCTCTCTGATCCTCTAGTTTTGATTCAAATTAATCTAAAATTTTTAAAAAATTGATGATTTCAGAACTTTCATCTTTGAAATACTAATATCTACTATATATCTACTACTCATTCTGAACACACACACCGAAAAAAAAAAAACAAGGCAAGAAACTGAATGAAGTTAGGGATTTTTTTTTGTCATTGAAACTAAAAAGTGAACAAACAAAACATCGGTTTTAATAAACATTTTATATCATTCTTCCCTTGTGAAAAACTCCACTCACCCATATACTTTTCAAACACTACATATTACAGTATAATCTACAATTATGTCCGTTTTCTTTAAAATGAAAACCCACAAAATGTGCAACTAGAAACCATCAGAATATGTTACAAATGGGTGCTTTTCAAAATGACCATTCTTGGCCAGAAAATGAAGTTTAAGATTAAATCTTATTGTTACAGATTCTTTAAATGTGATATATCTTAGCTTCCTGATTCTATTGTAATATCTAAATTGGAAACCCTCTGATCTACTCATACTATCTGAATTAAAAAAAAAAAAAAAAACACATACAATTACAATTTTGGCCACTTGGGTCTAAAACATTGTATCATTGTAATCAAGGACTTTAATCCAGTCCTTTGTACAGGAAAAAATTTAATTTTTACTTATAAATGGTGTAATTGCTCTGTGGTAGCTTTATATAATTTTTTTAAATAAATCAACTCTTGGAAGACTTAAATAATATTTACACACATAATTTTGACGACTAAACTTCTTTACCTATTCTCATATTCTAGGATGAAACTTCTTTCTTAAGCACAAAAATTAACTATTTTTAAAAGAATGCAACATAGTTTTAATGATTAATATCTTATTATTGAAAAAAAAATCTTAAAATTTGATAATTTTCTCACCGGTACAAGATGCTGTACACTTCATGAGGCTTCATTTCAAGTTAAATCTGTACAGAAAATGAACCACCATTTATCAATATATTTGACAGTTCATAAAATAAAATTTCATATTTCCTACAATTTCTTCAGTAAATGGATATGTGAAACAATATACTGTACAATTTACGTGTGCATACACTTGATTTTTCTAAATCGCAGTGCGGCCTTTACTTGTGCCCCAGATAATTACACAAAAGCCACAGATTCTAAAATAATAGACTGCAATGCCAGTGAGCCGTATGACTGAATATATCTAAAACAATGTACAAAACATTAAAAGACTAGTAACATAAGACCATTTCAGCCTAGTCACAAACCTTGTGACGGAGCTGTATAACAATATATGCAAAGATATTTTCAACAACAAACAAAAATTGAGTGACTAACAAAAAATAACCAGACAATGAATTTTAACAAAAAGGAGGTATTTGTGGTTAAATATCATTGAAAATTTGTATATTCCAAATCAAAGGATAAAGTTCACAAAAAAAGAGATACCATGCTTAAAAGCAAGTCAATATTTTGTGTTTCTGAGAAAAAATTCTCCAAATAATGAATTTATTTGCTAAAACTGTTATTATCATTATTCCAGCTTTCATCCAAAACCACCCTATTATTCAACAAAATTATCCAGCAAAGCTGACAATGTACAGACAATAAATGAAATGCAGGGCAATAGCAAGTTTTTAAAGGAAGCAGACAATACTCAAATTTGATCTACAGGTATTCTTCACATAGCTGCACAAAACATGTACATAAACGGATATATAAAATTTTTTTAAAGAATTTTTTTTTAAGTCTGAGTTTTTGTTAAGACAAGTTGGGCACTGTGTGTAACTGAAAATTCTGAATCTTGAGATAGTGGAATGTTTGGAAACAACTAAGTCAGAGATGTTTTAAATATGGGACTAAATTGCTGTAGCAAATGTTAAAATATGGGATTTAATTGCAGTAAGAAGTTTAAATGCCATTTTAAGACTGCTTCGACATAAGGTGTCCAAGCACATGTTGCACCTCTCTCACATCACCAGTATAATGGGCAAGGAGTAAGATGATCACTGTAAGCCCAGGCACATTGTGTCTGTGCATTAATTATAAGGTATGGCAGGTTTAACACTTCATATTTAATAAGGACTTAAGTAAATAAAGTGTCCGTTAATAAGTATATGTTTCCACTTTTTATCTAAACACATAATATAACCGCGCATAAAATTGAAACAGACCACGCAAGTGCTTTCTATTTAATAGTGCCTCCAAATTGATAGAAGTGCCCTACTTCTTTTAAGTCATTTTTTTTTTCAAAAATTATACCAAGTCAAAAGTAGACTGAATGTTTATTTCATTATCCCTACATTCTTTTGCTATCAAAATATAAAGCACTAGTGTCGGGTTTGTCTTTTTGCATTGCTGGTACATAAAACTGATTTCACTGTTGGATTTACACAATTCATTATTTTGCAAACAAACATTATTATTTTCTTCACATCTTTACCAATACCCTAATAACGTGGCTTTCAAAACATTAAGTACAACATTACACCAAAATTTATCTTAAATTTCAACTGGATCAACTAGATAAATAGATGTTTTAAACATCAGGATAAAACAAAGATCATTATAGACAATTGTGTTAACATTCAATTGAATGGGGAATCTGCTATTTTCAACTAATGATGATCGATGTTTAACTTTTCATTTTTTTTGTTTGTGCGAGTGAATGAGAAGAAAGATCTGCATCATAAAGTTCACAAGGCAAAGTCTTAACATTACAAATGGTGATAGTATACCACAGCATAACACAATATGCACAAAAAATGTGACAGCTCTTTCCTCAGACCTTGTATCACCTTTATGTTACACAATAAAAACTCTTCTCCCACTGGTTGCATTTCAAAATCCTTTAACTTTTTTCTAGCAGCAGTATATCAGAGCAAAATACATCATAAATATATCTTTTTTCAGCCAAACATTTCAATCCTATTTTTTTCAGAGCTTTCATCTTTAAAATGCCACTAATGTCAGGATAAATGTTTTAACCTCAGAGTAGCTGTGTATTGTAAAAGACCTTAACCCAGATTTACTGGCAGCGTTAATGCTACAGGGCAATGCTTTACAAAGACTCTTAAGTCACATCATATCAGCCTTAACTATGACCAAAGAATTGTGGCCTACGTTACACATGGAATCCAAATGAGTGCCAATTTTTTTTTTTTTTTTTTTTTTTTTTGGGGGGGGGGGATTTTGCTATGACAAATTAGAGACTATAGCTTATTTATGTATTAGTTATTTAAGGACAGTTGTTCCTGAAACAAATTTAGACTAAGTTGCAATGGAGTATAGTTAGCCTATGTTTATTCCTAAGCTCAATAACTTGTCTTTTATTGTAACACAGGCCCCAGTGAAATTAAGAAATTATAATTCAATTCTATCACATGTTAAATTACTCTGAATGCTGGTGTTGGTCTTTGTCTTTGTCATGGTGGACACATTCTCGCCCCAGAACTTCCTCTTTAGCATGCTGGATCTCCTCCTCATCGTAAAAATAGAGTGGAAACATGCCTATGAAACACCCAATCACAACACACAGAGCTCGCCCCTGGAATAAACCAAAGCAAATGACAGAAAGTCACATGCACTCTACGGCTGTTTTCACATTGAGTGGTCCAGTTTTCTGTATTGCACCAGTTTGTGAGATTGACAACTTTATAGCCACACTCAACTAGAATACTTAACCAGATTGATTTTGATTAGTTTGATTAGATTGATTTGATTGTGAAAGGGAGTTAAACTTCCTGTAGCACAAAATGGTGCGATATAGAAGAATGTACTGCTCAACGGGAAAAGGGCCTAGGCATTGCGAAGATCCTATTACAGTATATACGTACTTGTATCAGAAAATCTTTAATGTGTTTGAGATTCATATCATACTTTGCTTTTGGTTCATTAAACTTGAATGTTGTTGGCAAGACAAGTAGAAAACAGTACAAGTATACAACATTAAATGACTGAAAGGACTTTCTAAAATTCTAATCTAACATTCATTTTTTTAGTCTTACAATGCAGAAAATATTTGCAAATAGTCTAAGCAAGTGTGTAGTGACTAAATGCAATTTTTCAAACTATATTTCATAATTTTGGTGTCAGAGAAATTTAATTTGTCACATTTAAACTATAAATCAATATGTAGAGCAGCATTATAACACTAACTTACACAAAATTGGGGCTTTAAGCAACAGCAAATTAAAAAACTTCAAATGCAGAACAATGGAGTGAATAAGCACTAACACTTAATACTATGAAGTAACACATAACTTAGTTTAAAATACAAAACATCTTTCTTAGCTAAACAATCACAGCATGCTTACTGTACTCTCATATTATAGAATGCTATGGAAGCATGACTAAATTGGAAAAAATAATTAAATTTGCAGTGTCACTGAAACTTGAAAAAAAAAAACTTCTGAAATGATAATGCATTGATGAGTTCTTAAATGCTGCAAATACCTACTATGGAAGCATGTGGGTAACTAAAAGGCTTAAAAAACACAAATTCAAGGAATACAATTCATGCAGGCAAACCATGATGCAGTGGCACAACAGGCTTCTAATCTTAACACTAGTGGGCTAGATTTGGTCTTAAAGTGCAATTTAAGTTCACAAGTGATCTTACACGATCTTAAACATTATAGCAGTAGTCTTAAAATGGACTGAATCTGCTTTTAAGATCAAAATTGATCTAATATCTACTTAAGTGGTCAAGCAGTTTCCTCCCCTCACAATGGGGGATACCTCCCCTCACAATAGAGGACACCTCTGCTCACAATAGGAAAATGTGTAAGGGGAGGCAACTTAATTGGCTGTCAGACTAGAAATGGTCTTACTCATGTTTTAAGATCATGTAAGACTATTTGTGTTCTTAAATTGCACTTTAAGACCAAATCAAGCCCACTAGTGTAAGGGATGCCAACAATGTCCACTATTTGAAACTCACTGACTAGATGATGATGATGATCACATTCTTGACGTCCAACAGAAGAATGTCCAGGATTGTGTTGCCATACAAACTCTTCAACACAATAATATTAACATTCCACGGAACAAATACTGTTCATCTACCAGAGGTCCGAGGATCTCCAAAACTGACATTTAAGAAGGCAGCCATCCTGCACAAATGTACGCAGTAGCTGAGCAAGAACTTGAGCAAATAGTAGTCTATGAAAGTTTTGGTTTATGAATTGCAAAATTACTTTTGAAACAAGCCAAACTTTGAATTTTTCACAAAGAACAGTGTATTCTTTACACATGCTCATATATATACTTATATGCATATATATATACATGTGAACATGCAAAGAATACATTTGTTGGCATACATGACTTCCAAGTTTATTTCAAAAAGCACCATAACTTTGCTGTAATTGCTTTGTCCTTTTAAGACTTTTCAGATTCTGTGTTTTCTGATTCAGTCTTCTCGTCTTTTGAAATAAAAATTCCCTCCTGATGTAACAAAAACAGTGGAAACATGCCTAACAGACAACCAAATGCTATCCCTATTGCGCGCCCCTGAAATAAGAACAGAGGAAAGAGTGTGTGAGAGGAAAGTGCAATAAAATACAGCTCACAGATTGTTATATCAGGGAATCTGGTCAAATGCAGCAGATGTGCAAAAGGTAAAAGGCTCAACATTAATGTAATCTATGGAATATTTTCAGTTATTAAAAAAAATTTTCAGAAATGGTTACTTAGTTTAAAATATCACTTTAAAAATGATACTATTTCAGTTGTGCATGGAAATATGGATATAAAAATAGAAGGTAACCAGTGGAGAGAGAAGGATGTGCTAGTAGATAAGAGAGTTTTCATTCTCCAGAGCATTCCTGTTATTGCTGCTAGTTATCACCAGAGAGGGTATATACAGGCCATACAAGATTAGTTTATAATATCTATCCACTAATAGTTTGAATGCACTTCTAATGGCTCTCATTCAACACAGACAGTTGCCAAAACCTACGTTACTAAAACCTACATGTTGCTATCTCTTAAGTTAAAACTAGCATGTTAAGGAGAGCTAGGGCAGTCAGTGAGCTTCCATGTTGGCAATCAGAGACTAAATGACCACTGATGAAATCACCTGGAAAATCAGTAAAATAAAAACTAAAAGATGTTTCACCACCTTGGTCCTATTATAACTTCCTGGAATATCCGTAAACATAGCACCCCCAGTATATGCCTAATATCTACGCAGCATGTTGATGGGAGCTACTTAAATATTAACTGGAATAAATATAATGTAAACAAACCTGAAACCCAGTTAATAATAGTTAATCGCTGGCATAGTGACCTGGTAATTGTAAGATGGCATGCTTGATTTACTATATATTGGTCATTAAACATAAAAAGCGAGCGCCAGTGACACATACTTTTTGTGTAGTATTTGCATAGCTGTTTTATATCACTTTTTAATTACTGTGGATTCCTTTATATTCTGTAGGATACTATAGTATGAAATGGGGAAAATAACAGAGCAAGTCATATTTGTGGAAACATTTCACAAAATGCATGGGTCACATGTTCACTTTTTTGTGGAATGCCCTGTATACACTATTCATGAAACTTGACCTTAAACCTTTCAAAAAACTCAGTAATAACAGCCACATAAATGTAGCAGAGTTGAGAAAATTGTACAGAATTGTCCATTCCACCAGTGAAGCTGTCAAATAAGGTAATATGCAGGTTTTCTTCATGACCTGCTAATATCATACACCTTTGGCCTTAAAGTGCATTTACCCTGGCAATGGGTTCAAGTCACAGTAATAATCATGAAAAATGAAACATGCCAGTCAATGATGGAAGAAACAGTTCACCTGTTAGGGTTATCACCTTAAACACTATATTTCTACAACTGTCCTAGCGCTGTATCTTACCAAAGCTGAGGCTATCCTTGTAGACCTGTGGTCCGCTTGAGATGGAGTGATATTTGGTGGCTTCACACCTAATTTACTGACAGCATTTTCCACTATTCCTGCAGTTCTGAAAGGGAAAGGAAAAATTCTCTATATATTTTAAAAGAGAGAAGGCTAGGCCAGTTTTTAATTAGTATTCTCTATTTGAAAAATAATCTGAATCCAGTGTCGTAAGATTAACATTCCATTTCCATAGATTAGATCGACCTACTTTAGATCGACCTAACTCCCTGGGGGTTCACGATAAATAGCTGTCAGCCGGGCGAACACGAAAGTTAATTACACCCTTACAGCTTGTAGTAGGCGGGACGGACATTTAAGTCGGATTATCTGAAAGTAATCTAGTGAGACTCCCCGCAGGGATAGATCGATCTAAAATCTATGGGAATAGAGCCTAAGACTTCTTTCTCACCACATCTTTATTTTAATCAAAATCTGAGTATGTATCAGGATGTGAAATCCACTTTACAATAAATTATTTAAGTTTTATTTAAGTTTGAAAAGACTCCATCATTCATCCTTTTGAGAAACCTACTGGTGTATTGCACACTGTACACAAAGGAACTTTGATATGAAGATAATTTCTTCAAAATAAAGATGCATACTTAACCATTCAGCTGTAACTTACCCAACTCCAGCTACATCTGAGACCATATTACCTAATGCAGCAGCTGAAGCAGAAATGAAATCACAAATAGTCTTTTGCAAATTGTAGAAAGGTGGACTGAGATCAAAGCGTATATCTTCCTAATCCCCATTTTTCTTTTTTTTTCTGTCTTTATTTCTTTGTGAGTTTTGGAATTGAATTCATTTTCAAGAATGAGCTTTTCTTAATGCCAAGGGAACTAATCAATCATGATTTATAAGAAAGTCAAAACCCAATCTGACACTGGTTTCTATGAATACCCTGTTATTATACATGGCTGGTTTGTTATAAGTTACTTCATTTTTTAAGGTTGAAAATGCCAATGATATGAGTGCTTTGAATGCATGCATCTGACTACTTAAATATGCACTTGTGAAAAAGAGAAATCACTAGGGAATTATGAAAAAATGTTGCTAATGTGTTCTTAAATACTGGCTTGAAGTATGAACACAGTATAAATATAAGGAGGGGAAAAACTTAACTTCTTCATATCAGTTTATTAGGATGAGCGAATGATACATCCAAATACTACAAGCATGACATTTATAAAATAGGTGCGATGGTTATCTTCATACTTTGATTTAGATACCATGATGGTCAAAAACTCCTATTTAATTTCTCAATGCCTAATACAAGCAACAGGTAACTGACCCAGTTTGCAGGGATGACTGCCCCCATGTCCCAAACACAATAAATGTAGGTCAGATCTCACATAATATGCCAGAGCCAAAACCATTATAACCAACATCCAACAAACTTCAATGAAACAAAATCCCATCCCTACACCAGGCAGGTGATTTAATGGAGATGATATATACATGGCACTAAAATTACTATCTAAATATGCCAAAGCAGCACTTTATCCCAAATGTCAAATGTGAGACTTTGTGTCAGTTATTTAGCAAAGTAAAATATTCCCAAAATCATTAATGATCAAGTTGTCGCCTGTTCAAAGTAAGAACTGTGTAAAGTGTAAAATTATCAACCATCCATCATGATTTCGTCTGCTGCAGAAAGAGGTGATACGAATCAGTGATTTTGATGATAACTGAGGGTGTGTGTGTGTGGGTATGTACACTGGTAAACAGATACACAAGAGTGCATGAGGGTATATTCAGAATTCTGTTCTCGGCCACTGACTAGGTTCTTTTCATTTCTAGACTACCAAGTGACTCATTATTAAGATTTGGCCAACATACTTATTTTGTAAAATTTAACAAGAACGTATACTATTCCTCTCACTAAATGCAGCAAACAAGCCAGTGATGACCAGAAAAGAAAGAACCTTAATTTCTATTCATCTTCTTCATAGACTTATCCACAATACAAGCCAAATCAAATACAGAATAGCCTTAAATTTCCTAAAATCAGTTTTCTCTTCTCCCACCCAGAGATCAGTAGGTCAAGACACCTTGCACATTAGTTCCAGTTGAATCTCCAGCCTGGGTGTTATTGTACTATAAAAATCCTATCACTATATATCCCGCATACCAGACTTGACCAGGACTGAATACTGGCCAAGATGACCACAACACTTAATCTGATGAATTGGATTCACTGTTGGATAATTTTTGTCCTAATCAATATATGTGAAATGCTTTCAAATATGTGATCAAAGGGCCTAAAACACCTTACTTCTCTAGAAGTGAAATAGAAAGCCAGCAGTGTGCACGCTTTCATAGTAACTGTTAATGGAATTGTGTTGATCAGCAGTGCCAGCAGGTGAAGTACCTGTGGCAGTGAATGACATAAGACAGTCCTGGTGAGTGATTAGTCAATTAGCTGATCAGACAGCAAGCTGAAGCTGTGGTTCTTTACTGCGCATCAAAATTCAATGAAGAGAATGGCATATCCCCCATTTCTGACCATTTATTCAAATAAAACCAGCCACTTTCTAAACCCCTTTACCCATCTAAAAAAGAAGTTAACCAAAAGGAAGAAGAACCTCATCCCTTTGAGCATCAAAGTTGAATCTGATTGGATAATAAATGCACAGGGGTAATGCATCGCGTTGTTACCTAATATGGTAAATGGAACTGGTTACTTTGAAAAAAAAAAATGACCTTGCACTAAAAGCTTGGGTTAATCTGTAGCTAGAGTCCATTTGCACAACTTAATGTACTAGTACTGGCAAAGTCAGCTAGAATCAGTTTTATCTGGCCACTTGCTGAAGTCTTACACCATGGAATAAGCTCAACAGGTATAAATATTAGTTAAATTCATTGTAACATTATAAATTTCACAAGTGATGAGTTTTCACATCCCATTCTTACCTGCCATAGTTGATATACCCAGCATGGCTCCAAATGTAGCATCAATGTATTCACCCTGAAACCAAAAACAAAACTTCAGCAAAATCAACATTGAGCATATGCCATTAGGATAGAGAAGCTGGGCATGCAATCTGTGAAAATTCTTTGAGAAAAGATGGGGTCGTGTAAAAAGAAAAAACAGGTCTCACTTATTTAAAGGGCATCCTGCAAATTTTGTAAAATTCGATAAGTTTGAAATACATTTATCTAAAACAATCAATGAATCATGCACACTCAGGTTAACAGTAAAACACTGCACCAAAGATCACTTCAAGTTGGTTAAACAGTAACGACACAGATATGCTGGCCAGATATGATAGTGATCATGAATAATTATCCATATTACACAAAGGAAGCAAGTCATGTAATTTGCACTGTAACTACACATATTAAATGAGTACAAACTCTCATATCAGAAAAACCTGACCAACACGGCAGTGCACCATATAACCTGAACCAGCACTACACAATAATGTGGTTATCTGTGAAAAGTTGAAGTTAAAACATATACAGGTGAGATGCCAGTAATGGGCAGTTACAGCTAGTACAATACATTGGGCCATTCCATGTGAGAGAGAGAGAGAAGATTATGTAAGAGCACATGAAACACTGGACTGTTTCCATCTGCCCACATGTAACAGCTCACACCAATACTTACTGCTGTAATCATTATAACATTGTCTAAAATTCCAAAACCTATAAATGGCAATCCGTTGTAAAGGGCAACTGGAAGAGAAAAATGAAGATATTTTTAAATAAATAAATAGACATTTTTATTCAAAATGATAAATCCACAAAAACCATTGCAACATAGAGCAACAGAGAGATTTTAATTTTCACAATTAAAACACAATTCTATCTTACCAAAGAGCACATTTATCAGATAAATGATATTAGTTTTCAACTGATCAAAGATGCACATCTTTTAATATACAATAACATTAAATCTGCTCTAAAATTTGAAATAAAAAAGTAGTAAAGGACTTTATTTAAACACTTAATAAAAATTCTCACCTTTTCTTAACTGACTCCAAGAGGGCACAGGTGATGCTGACTCTGGAATGATGCAGGTGAAACTATTTCACAATTTGCACATAATATGTGATGATTATTGACTTTGTTAAATAAAAAACAATCTGTAGCACTATAACTTTATGTAAAAAATCTTCAAAATATTGATATCTAGTTTATTTTATTATAAATAGAACATTACATTCTACTGATAAGCTTGAATTGACTGTAGTTCCCAAATAAATGTCAAGTATAAGTAGGCTAGATGCTATTAGCTGACACACGCCACAATGGCCTGATGGGCCTCATTGTTTTGGGCTGCTCCAAAAATGTTTCTTTTATTTATTTTGTAACATTTACACAAGGTAAATATCTGGTGTAAATGTTCAGATCTGATAAAAAATATAACATTGTATATCATAAATCAGTATGAGAAAAGCACTTGAATATGACAAAAATATGAAAGACCAACTCAATCTTTTCTGGACATTTTACATAGAACAGTAATTAAACAACGACAAGGACTTTTCTCAGACAAGTTTTGAATGCCATCTCACAGTTTTGTTGGTTTGGGATTTAACTTGAGTATATATGTGTGTGTTAGGTTGTCTGTTACATAGTCTAATCTCTACTAAAGCAAGGTATTAAACACTGACCACTAGCTGTTACTAGAGCATTCCATCTCTGGTATTTACTCTGACAGTTCCCATTGATTAAATATAAATATTGAAATATATTAAATATATCCGTTCTTTTTCTTAGGCACCTAAAGCCGCACTATAGTTGGCAGTTGAAAAAAAAAAAAAACTGATCTGTACCCTTAAGTTAGCATTCATTTCACAGTTTGACAATGTAAAACTCTTTGGTTATTTGATATCCTCAGATTCTGCTGGCACCATATTAGGGTTGTAGGTTATAACAATTTTAGAGCAGCCCAATGATAAAAACAGTCAAACAACACACATCACACATCATGATTTAGGGAAATCACCATGAATTAAATGTAGTGCAAATACCCACACATAGTTAACTACCTAGTAAGTGCTTTTCAAATGTAAAATCAATAAAATGTGTCCACATTTTCCTTTGAATTGTTATTTGTTATGGGTGCATTTTCTGTAAAACAGCAATCCATCAATTCATAAAAACTCAATCCAAAAATTTTATAGATAAAAGTAGAAATATCACCCTCACTTTTATGCATACCAATGCCTCAAATTTAATAATCACTGAAGCAATATCCAAGTAATTTGCATTATTATCCAGCAAAATTTCAACTTTTCTCATCTCAGATAAACCCATCATACTTGCTAGATCGATTCAACTCTGTTGGGATTCTTGCTTCAGAGGCCATTCAGAACAAGTTGATCCGGGGACTAACAGATCCGCAGACTAAATATGGCTGACTCACCTAAAAGAAACACGGACTAACTCCATGATGGCCTCCCCGCCTCCACAAATGCCATCGCTGCAGGGACATTGCAATTAAACCTCGGAGCTGATATCTTACCCGTTTAATGGCGTGTGAAGGCGGGGAGACCAACAGAGGATTAAGTGGCGCTACTTTGAAGTTTGGTCAGCCATATTTAGTTGGCAGATCATCTGTTCTGAATAGTCCATAAGTATAGTCACTATAATCAGCTTAATTGTCTGACACACCTCCTTGACCAGCAAGGGAGGAATAACTATCTTGCATGATCAGCTCACCAAAGCTCTTTCACTTAGAGTGTGTTAAACAGTTAAGCTGACTATACTGAATGCACTTTATGGAGAATCCCCCGTAGAGTTGGGTGGATCCAGCTAGTATGATGTGTTTATCTGAAAACGTTCATATATTCCATAAGCCTCATTTCATCTAAGTTTCAAAATAAATTTATCAGACAAAGATAAAAAGCATATGGTATGTGACTGATGTCAAAACCTTTACAAAAATAGTAAAAACAGTTTAGCAAAAGGTTTCAAACTTTTTGTTTTCTTTAAAAATGTTTAAGATGAAGTGCATGTTAGCATATTCTCTACTATTAGTAATTTCCAAAATTTTCAGTACATTAGAATCTCTTTTCTAAAACCTCCTGTTACTACAAAATAATCCACAATGGGCCAATTCTAAGTACACTATAGTGTGCTTACCATTGTAAGTATTATCTTGAAAATAAAAGATAAATCACTGATTAATGCACTTATATAAATGGGTACTAAGACTCCATGCTACATTAAAGTTGCCTTAAAAGAGAAAACAAGGTTTAAAAAAATAGGAAATTTTATTTGGACTATCAGAATAAAGGTGCCACACAGTACACTCAAGTTTTCCTACGCTCAACTCAGCTGCACATAGGAGAGCTTAATGCACCTCAATCAGTTCATTTCTTCTGAAAGAAAAACCTCATAATATGTGCTAAATGATATATTGAAATTTTGCTCATTGCCTCATTAGATGATGTGACATCACTGACACTGTGCCCTCATGTAATTTACCTCTTGTAGCTGTGATCAGTGCACTAGTTAATCTGACGCTCAACTGCACTTGTCATGACTCTTGTCCCAACCAATGCTTTTATAACGAATTAGACGCGATGTTCTGGTTGCAGAGAACTATTGATCATGTGGTAAAACAAATCATCAATGATCTTACATCTGATTGGCTGGGGGACACCAACTCGGGAGTCGAAATCATGGTTTGATTGGAAATTGTTACTCATTGGTTAATTGAGGTGTTAAGCTAACCAGTACAGTATGTGAGACAGCTGTGGATACAGCTAGTACAGCATGTTTACTCACATAATGTGCATGCAGCTCTCAGAAACCTTCACCTATAGATCCTCAGATCAACACACCGAAATTTTTTTTCTAAAGGCTTAAGCACATGATTGATGCTACTTTGATGTGAAAAGAAAATGTATTTTAGTATTCTTTCTGAGGAATCGATAAGACAATAACCAACAAAACATACAAATAATATCTAACAGAACACAACGAGAAGCAGTTTAATCAAAAACTAAAACTAGCAGGCAACATGCATAAGAAACGTCACATTTTAGACAGGTATACCATAGACTTCTGTAGTTTTTGTCTTCTTAGGAACTGAATATCTTTCACCTGCAACATCAAATTAGCAGAAAGCTGCAGAGAAGTGCAACAAAAATCAACTGAAGCTGCCAGACAGTGAAATTTCAATACAGCCATCACTACTAGTACCCTACTTCTATTCTCAATTGTCCTGTTTTTAGAAATTACATTTAGTAGAACTCAATATTCATGCAAAAAGGGCATTTTATATTAAAAGTATAAATAAAACAAAATGAATTACATGATGAATTTGGTCTCTGTAGGCCCAGAGTTGTTTAAAAAGTCACTTGACCATCAGTAATAAACATGTTAGAAAAAACTGTCATGTTACATTTATTAGCTTTAAAGTGGTTCGTAAAATTTTACAGCCTATACTTTATAATATTCATTAATTCCAATACCTCCATGTATTTCAATACCTCCATGTATTTTATATGAAGGCAACCTATTTCGCTGCTATAAATATATTCAGTCACATGTACCATAACAAAACAGTCCTGTGCAAAAAGAGGATTAACAACAAAAATATCCCAATCTGTTGAAATATTGAAAATATTTGTGTGTGTGTTTAATCTGATGAGTGTTGTGCTAAGCCCTCAAAGCTGCAGACCAGAAGAATATTAATGTCAACATATATCATTTGGTAACAGTGTTTACCTATAAACCACAGGTAAGTTAGTATTATCACAGAGATCTGTGCTGGTCTTCAGATTCAAATATCTAAATTTTCCAAGAAACAAGTTAAATATTGATACACTTTCTTACTGTTTCCTGCCTTTGAACTGCAACAACAGCACCTGTGGACATAGTGTTTACTTTACTGAAATAAACCTCTCAACACCTGTTTACTAGGGCTACATGTTACCCAGAAAATGAGGCAATGTTTCAGGAAACAGGTTATGCATCTGGTAGACTATCAAGGCTATCAGGACATGGTTTGTTGTATATATTCTGATAGGCAAACATGTACACAAATACAGAGAAATTCATGCAAAGGAGTTCAGTTCAATAAACTTTAGCGATTGCCATTTGTGAACAATTTCCATTTAGATGAACTGAGCTGCATGTAATTGGGGAGCTGGAGCTTGGTTTGTGAAAGGTCATGACCACCAATTTAATAAACGCACTGGTCAGTGGGCGGTGGAACCAGGTGCCCCTGACCTCTCACGTTGGGGAATAGGATTTCAATAATAATGAAGTTAGCAAATATCATCTATCAGAGGCAGAATGGCAAATTTGAATGTGTTTGAATATATACCGAAAAAGAAAAAAATGGCCAAAATATAGGTTTTAAACAAATAAAAGGAATACAGGAAAAAAAGATAACATTTTAATAGAGACCTTTGCTTTCCTTTTTTAACTAGTCATCACCATACAATTTTGTTTACAAACATTATAATCATATTTCTGTATAATATTTCAGGGGAAGGGTACCTGGTATAAACTAATTACTTTAAAAGTTATAGATTCATTATCCCTCATTATAAGACCTTCTTTAAGAATACAGCTATCATTTCTTTTTACTTTTTACAAAAAAAGTGAAAAGACTTATAGACAAGTGCAGACTGCTAACCATAGCTTTCAAGGACGGTACTAACTTATCTAGCATATCTATTATATGGTACATACTGGAGAATATAAGATAAGTTAGCTAAATACCAATCCTCCATCTTAAAATTTCAGCTCTTTATAAAGAAAAAAGATCACACTATAATTCTTGAAGGAGATAAATAATAATTCCAGTTATAAGGCAAACAGTTATATGTAGTCTGCTGTATATATTGCTGACTTTCTATCAAGTGTTAATATGAAGGTAGGGGGTAATGGCATTTTTTTTCCTTTTTAGGCACACATTTCTGCTGAAAATATAAAAAAAAATGCTAGATATGGAAATGTGGTTTAGATGCTGATTTCTGACTTCCTTGAAGTTATGGCGAATGAGACAAATATGGAGCATCGACTTCAAAGAAATAATAAATATGTGCTGATAATAAGTATTGAAGTCTAGGTTTCCTGTATAATTGAACACTCCTATTTTCAATATCTTGCATTTATTGAGCAAGAGCTAGAATGGATGCCGATACAATAACACACAATACGATGGCTTCAACTGCTACCTATGACAGTATTAATGAATATGAATAGTTGGTGGAGCCGACAACACTGTACAATAGTGTAATGATGAGCAGTTTTTTTTTTTAAATTCTCACTTGAGTCTGAAATAATGGATTTTTCCTTAGAAATTAAGGTGAGGAAAAACATTTAAAAGATTAAATGCACTCATGCTTGGGAGCGCAAAGGGTTCCACACCATGTGGAATGTCCCCATTTGAACTCTACTGAGAAATTCGATCGAATGTATTGATACGGATCACAGTTAAAATATAAATAAAATATAGATGGAAAATTGCGGTCTCTCTCTCAGACTCTCGGAACATGAAAAGAAACTGATCTACCACTTGACATGTAAGCTTGTCATCGTTATTATCATACCTGGACTTTTCCTGGCCTCTTCAAACCTCTGGAGTTCAAGCAGCAGCTGCTCTCGCTCCTCGTTGTCAAGCGTGTAGATGAAATCTTTCGCTCCAGCCGTCGTCCTTACGTCCCAGTGGACGCGGCGTAAATTCTGTGAGCTAACTGGAGATATGTTTCTCAGTAATAAACCACTGTGAAAAGTGTGCGATCTACATTTTTTCGTGTGTACATAATTTAATGTCCGAGAGGCGACTTTCGCTGCCCTGCTGGCCATCTTGGAAGCTCGAAAATTATGTCAAATTGTGAACTTCCGGCTTAGAGACCCGTAAGCTCAAATGTGCCCCAAATTAAACAGGGCAAATTTTTGGTTGCAAAACCGAAGACCACAACTCCAGCAAGTCTCTGCTTCATGTTTATCATTACTTAAAAATAAAGTTATATTGAAATTTGCTTTATTCGATGTTTTTTTTACAAATAAGTCAATATAATTGATATCCCCCAGCTTTTTCCTTACGATTTTAGCATCACATGATTTGGCCAAAATGGCGAGGACCATGGAAGAGTTGTTCGTTGTTTTGACGGTGACAATTGCAGCCACGTACCATGTTGATGCTGCTAAGAATGCATCACTCCCCTTGGTCCTGTGGCATGGAATGGGTATGTACAGTATAAATTGATTTAGGCTCAAATCCTGTACCACAAAACAACTACCAACGTTTTATCAATGCATAAAGTTGCCAGGAGAATACATTTCTTCAGGTTGATCATTGATGTTCCGTCGCTATATCTGTTGCAAGTGTACAAGGCATTATTGACATGGTTGAAAAAAGTGTATTATCATGTGAATGCAAAGTGTAAAGCTGCCCTTATTCCAAACCAAATAAGAGGAAACTAATGTTACTAATCTTTGTCCTTCACAAAGCAACTTGAACCCAATTTGGATTGCCATTCATTAAGTTATACTTTCACAAGAACACCTGTCAGTTAGTGTAAAATGTGCTTACAGCAAAGCTGCACCCTACTACCCATTTTATGTGATCTAGAAATAATAGTGAAAAAATAACATTTAGAGCAAAAAAGGATGTTGTAAAATTGATTTTTGTTGGAGGTTTCATCTAAGATAATTTGTTATTGTTTCAGGGGACAGCTGCTGCAATCCACTGAGCATGGGAAATATCAAGAAGGTTATAGAGAAGAGAGTTCCTGGAATCTATGTGAGGTCACTGATGATAGGAGACAATGTGGCTGATGTAGGTATATTGTAGGGGGATTAAATTGTGGGTGGTATTTTCACTGGTGCGGCTTCATGTCATGATCCGCCTAACAGGCTTTAGTGAAATCAGCATGTATTTTATAAACAAAGGCTGTTTTTTATTGTTTTATTTTTTCTGACTTGAAATATTTATATATTCATGATATTGAAAATTGGCATGTTTTTACCTGCAGTGTAGCAAAGCAGGTATACTGATCATAAAATTACTCTCTTCCCTCATCTTAATCTTCCAACATTTTGCAAACCAGAGCTATTTCCACCACTGGTCCAGGCTTTAAGCTTGTTTTGAAAAAGATCAAAACATTTTGCAATGTTTTTGAAGGAATCAAAACATTTTTCTTTGATCCCAGACCTAAGTTGTTAAAAACCTGATATGTTTTATTTTAGGATACCATGAATGGGTTCCTTTTGAATTCAAATAAACAAGTGGATATGGTGTGCAAAAAGATTGCTTCTGACCCCAAGCTTCAGAATGGCTACAATGCCATGGGCTTCTCTCAAGGAGGACAGTTTTTGTATGTAGACAAATTTCATGAAACATTTTATTTGATTTTTTTCCCTTTTTTTAATACTTGTGTGTTTTGAAAAATATTTCATTTTACGTTCTATATTGATTTTTGAGGTGATTTGTTCCAAACATTGGATTTAAAAAAGATAATTTAATATCAGAGGTGAACTAAAATTTTAACTAAAAATGTTATAATTATATAATTGTGTGCCTAAATATAGAAATTAATTAAAGGTGTTTATATTTCGATGTCAGGCGTGCAGTTGCTCAGAGATGCCCCACTCCACCCATGAATAACCTCATCTCTATAGGAGGCCAGCACCAGGGTATGTGTTTATATGTTATATATATATATATATTATTTGTGTTATATTCTTACTAAAATTATGTAAAACTAAGTTAGGCATTGTTATTGGATTTCACTTATAACCACCCTATTGCAGCTATCAAAACATGAATTACGTTTAAAAAGTGGAAAAATTGTTTTTGCACTTGAAAATGTATAGATGTTAAAATGCTTCTAAAATGCACATGGCCATTTGTATTTTGAGAGAGAAACAGTAATCACATTAGCTCTTATTTTTTCCTGTTTCCATATACTAGGAGTGTATGGCTTCCCCAGGTGTCCTGGGGACAACTCCACCATTTGTGACTATGTCAGAAAGTTGCTGAACCTTGGGGCATATGTTAGGTAGGGAACAGTTTATTGAAATCGGCTCTTATTTAATTTATTAAATGCTTGCATTGACAAATTATTTTCAGAAAATGGTGATTGACAGTTTTGATTAAATAATGATTTTAAATCTGTGTAAAGATGTAACTTTCAGGATCCTTCTCTCTCTATCAGTGAATAAAGTATGAAGAGAATCCACATCTTTGACTTTGTTCTATTCATTCTTTATATTCCTGGTCTTTTTTGCATCCTATGGCATTTTATTGTTTGATGTTTTCTACACAGTCATGGAGTTGAAAAATATTAACTGTTTGATTTATATTTGATTTCAGCTTTGTCCAGGAACGGTAGGTTACTGTCTTTTCTTCTTCTCCTTGTACAGTGAATTATACTATAACATACATGTATATTTATGAAAAGGTTATTTTTATGTAAATTTGATTGACATGCTAGAAGGTAAATTTGTCAGAATACATTGTTTTAATTTCAATAAACAAATAGACTTTCATTTGTCAAAAGTTCCAGAAGAATATAGGAACTGATCAACATTGTTTTCATTTCTTCATACAGCTTGGTGCAGGCCCAGTACTGGCATGACCCTATGAATGAAGATGAATACAAAAAATACAGCATATTCCTAGCAGATATTAACAATGAAAATGTAAGGCACTTTGTATTCTGAATAATCCATGTACATTTTAATACAGTCACACTTAACTTACAGGTCAGTGGTTTTTGTTACTAGATATAAAATTACTGTCTATTATATATTCCCATTTGAGTACATTTTCACTATGACTATGGCCCATATTTCATCTTAAATTTTCAGGTTAAAAACCAAACATACAAGACCAATCTGATGAAACTGAACAAGTTTGTGATGGTGAAGTTCCTTCAGGATACTATGGTGGACCCCAAGGAGAGTGAGGTACAGGAACTGGCTGACCCGAGCCTGAAATACCATTAACTGAGTTACCATAACTTAATCATACCTTTTGTGACATACAGTTGTATCCTGAAAATTTTATTAAAATTCATAACTTTTTGTGTTAAACTGGTGATGGACGTGTCAACATAACCGTCATAGCGGACTGAATGTTTTCTTAGCATAATGTTGTTGGCAAGGGAGTGTTTTGCCTTCAATTTTAAACATGGGGTTTTTCATTCTTAAATGACACTAATGGTGTGACAGCATATCTCACTTGGTGGTAATGAAAATAACAAATAAATGAAACAATTTGTTTTCAGTGGTTTGGTTTCTACAAACCTGGTGAAGGCAATATTGCGTATCCTCTGCAGGAGTCACAACTGTACCAAGAGGTAATCATATAGATCTGAGAGAAAAATGAATAGACCCTTTCTCTCCCAAGAAATCTCTATTTGTTTGAGAACTGGTTATTTTTAAAGGAATGCCGTTCATGGGCTTTTTTCACAAAGCATAGGCATTAATGTGACAGTAAGCAGAACTATTTTGTCATATTAAATGTTCAAACAATAATTTCTTCATTACTGTATGCCAGGAAGATTTTATTTGTTCTTATAACTTTGTTGACAAATTTGAAATGACTTTAATTCAGTTCAGTATATTTTTTTCACATTAAAGAGAATAATGTAACATTTTAAATAAATGTCCATTTCCTGCACATTTATTTTTGATAGATTGTTGAAAATCCTTGTTTCTTCTACACAGGATTGGTTGGGGCTCCAAAAAATGGACAAGGCAGGAAAGCTGGTGTTTCTTAGCTCCAACACTGATCATTTACAGTTTAATCTCTCCTGGTTTGAACAGAATATCATTGACAAATATGTGAAATAGGAATTAAATTCATTTGTTTCTATTTCAATGTTAAATACACATCGAAAGTTGGTTGCCTCAAGTAAAAACAATGTGAAAAACAAGTGGACACGTGGACTGAAATTTTTATCAGTATCGGAGGTCTATAAAGATATTAAAATTGATTTGTATGCTTGTGCTGCAATCTTTGCAACTTTTTTTTTGTTTCAACTTAAAACATTGCTTCACAACCAGTGAATACCATCTTCAACAAATTATTATTTTTTAAATTTGGTTAAAATTTCTAAAATTTGTACATTAAGTTTATTTGAAATTTATTTTGAAATTTATTGGCAGCCAAGGTATAACATACGAAAAGTTACACATTTGCTCGAGTCTTGTAATCTTTATTAATTAATAATCTTTCTAAAGTATATCATTTTGAAAGGATTAAAGATGTTTTCTTGGGGTAAATGTCTTTTGTGATACAAGGAATGTGAACATTCATCGTTAATGTCAATGTTTACAATTTATAAGTTTTTTACTGTGCAATAGACAATGAAGTCATTTTTAAGATTAAAATTTTGTAAAAAAATATATATATATATATATACCTACCACCTGAATAATTAACACATTAAGATGATGCAGTTTTAGTTATTCACTTTCATTATTCTACTGATGACATATTGAATAATAAAAACTGATAAATTTGATTTTTTTTTTTATTTTTTTGCCTCTATTAATGTCTTTGGTAATTTCTGTTGAGCTACATATGACCTGTATATTTACTACACTGTAAACATGTTGAAAAAGACTATACTAAAAAGCTATACTAACATCCTTAAATAATTATGAAAAACTATTTGTGTGTGTGTGTAAGTTTATAAAGAAAATAAACGAATCTAATATACATGTTCTGTAATATGAATATTTGTTATGATAGAAACTGAGACCAAAATACAGTCACGTAAAAAAAATCGACTGAGTATTGCACTTTAACTTGAAATATTGGGATATGTCCAAATTGAAATATTGAGATATGTTTAAATCTGTAAAAACTTACTATAAATATTTAACATGATCATAAACATTTATAAACACTGATCAACATACATGTACTTCACCAACATTTATTAGAAGTGCCAAGAACAAGTTCAAATATTTTACGTTCTGCCAGCTCTTATAAACTAGCATATGAAAACTGGCACTATGAAAAGTTCTGTAATTGTAAAACCTCCATTCCATACTGAGGAACTAACATGGAACACCTGCTTAAACTGCTGCACTTTTCAACGTAGCTACATGAACATTATACAATATTATTTATTTCTCTATAATGCACCATGGCCTGACTCTTATGAACACAACTGAGGCCTTTTGGAGATTGGCAGTATTGTCAGTGCCTAGGACTTCCATACTTCTCATCACTGGACACCCCCCTTCCTAGTGCTGGATAACATACACAGCTACCACCAGCAGTAGTGTCATAACACATGAGGAGACCTGTGTGTGAGTGGCTGTGGTATAGGTACATGGGATCTCTATATCCCTCAGTGCGGGACACACCCCCTGGTCTGCCAGGGTGGTCTCTGCCGCGTCCTGGTGAGCACAGGTGCCATTGATGATCCTGTAGGCTCCAGAGTTGACCACACTGGAAGAGATAAAAATATAATGTTTGATAATAGAGATAAGCTTACCTATCCTGCTTTTTTTTTAAGTTGAAACTTTTAAGAAAATGTACTATCTATAAATATAGTTAGTTTCTCTTAGGCCATAAAGTTATTGTGATATCATTAGGACTGAATCATTTTTTACCTATGTTATAGGTACTACTCTGTTAAAACAGGATTAATCATGCATCACATTGCCACATACTTTAAAATCATTTCATAAAGACTCTCCTCTAAAGAAACAACTAAGTGAATTCTGTGGTTACTGTACACTTTTTCCTTGAATACCAGAGAAGATAACAGCAAACTAATAGAAACAAGCATGACTGTACAAACCTCCTTGCTATTTTGCAGTTGAAATTAAAAAAGATGGTTTCAGTGTATTCCTTGAAGTCTTCAATTACCAGCAGAAACAGATTGGTCTTAGGCAGTTCTGTCACATAGTAGAAGCCAGACATACACGGACCTGACACATTGCCTGTTATCATGTGACTTGGACCTAAAAATCAATAATATTTCATTTCCATTTAACCACATAAGAGTTTCTCAACTCTTTCTCTCTCTTGCATGCACACACACACACAAGCACACACACACACACACACTTCCTACTAGAATTTTTTAATATTTCAAAATCAATATTCTTATAAAATCAGTCTGGTGAGTTGTGCATATGAAAAGAAAACAAATTATCAAGGAAGAAGCAGAGAAACTTATATCCAGATGTTTATAAATATCTACAGTGCATACAGCAGAAAGCAGTTCTATGTCTCACCTAATGCAGAAGAGTTTGCCTCAAAGCTGACCACATCCTGAATACACCCATATGTGTTGGAAAACTTTGGGATAGGGCCTTTGTTCTTGTAATAGTTGTCCTGTTCCTCTGGATTGGTGGGAGTGCCTTCCAATGTGACCTGTTTTGAAAATACATGTAATTATCTCAGAAGATGTGTAAATTGTTTGTCTTTTGTTCAGTATACTTGCCCTTACCCATTTCTTCTAAAGTTTACAATTCTTTTTTGAGAATTCCCATTTAATACAAAGACACATTGAAAATGTTTGACATAATACAAAGGTGTCATTATTATTATTTTTCTAGCATAAAAAGAGAGAGGCCTTACCTTGGGAGCATAAGGCGATATACTGCAGGAACCCTGGAAGTCTAGAGATTCTTTCCGCTGGAAAAACCCATGCTTATAAATCAGCTCTCTCATGATTTCTCCTTGTTTCTTCCCCATTGTCACTCCTTTATACTTGCTGGTATCCAGGCTACTGGCATTCAGGAAGTCTGGGTCAGCTATAAGGTTTGCTCTGTCATCAAACAGGTAACATCTGGAAGATTTCAGCAGGTTATAAGAATAAGAATATTATGATATCCAAACAAATAAGTACTTTTATTGATAGGTGGAGCTATTAACAAAGACGATTAAAAGAAGTGTTCAGTAAAACAATTCATTTGTCAGCTTTCTCAAAGCTGTAAAATACTTATTATATAATTGGCAACAAACAACAATTGGTTTTAAACAAAAATCCCTTTACATTCACGGAAATTTGACAAAATGTTCAGTGGTTGTTAATACATGTATAAAAATAAGTGAATACAGAAGGGTACCTTCGTACACATTTTGAACAAAGAGTAAAAAATTTGAATTATATTAAAATTTCTAATGTGCCCATTGAACTACCTAGTTTCACAGTCGGGCTCTCCATCAGGACAGTCATACTTCATCCCACACGACTTGATGCCATCGCTGGCCTGCATGATAGCCATGGTGTTCTTGTGGAAGTCATTGTACAGTATGTCCAAGCACGTGATAGCCTCCACACGCTCTGTGGCACAGCGACGACGCTCTCGGTTATGGCCTGGGGCCTTGCTCAGATAACATCTTCCTATAGTAAATAACAGCAATATTAAAGACTGGGTAGTATTTCTTACTCAGGTAGCACCTTCCTATGGGAAATAACAGTAATAGTAAAGACTGGGTAATATTTCTGACACAGGTAACACCTTGATGTTGAAAATAACACTAAATATAGTAAAGACTTGGTTAATTTTTCTGTAGGCTAAAGAGGCACATCCACTTAGGAAGAAAATCCATACATAATTTATTCTTCCACTGAAATAGGCAACACATTCAGGAATTTTACAAAAGCATTTTAATGATGCCCTATTTGCACAGTAATTCTGAATGATACAAAATTGATACTTTACACGCATTACTACAAACCAAGACAAAGTGATATTCCTTGAAGAATGCAACTATCCTGTATCACCTATTCCCACCAATACTGATATCTCAACACTCCTAACACATGCCACAATGTTCACATAATACATAAAATGCAAGATGCTCCATACATACATGATTCACAATGGCTGGACCTTCCCTCCACTCACCTACAATACAATCTGAGTCGGAGTCACACACACAGCCGCCTGGCCAGGGCCCAGTTTTGGAATAATTCTGGCAGTTCTCCGTGGTTCTTGGTGTCATGCCTTCAAACACAGCCTGCGATATGGTGACAATCTTCCCCACTCCCGCGGCGTCCATGTAGGGGGTGGAGATGGATGTCTTGTCAGGAGTGGACTTGGCGCGGAAGAACCAAGGTCGCCTAAAGAGTGTGAGATTAGTATTTTAACAGTTGTTACATCTTAATTTGTTGTGAAAAGTGCATTTTTCATAAAAATTTACAAAATTTTGAGCTTTATAACATGTTTTTAATTTACAAATTGCAAACATTTATACGGGGCATCCATATCTCAATTTTCATCACATTAATTTCTTTTTGAAAATAGTGCTCATATCTCCAATCAAAACATCTTCATTGGCATTTTTTAAAAATATACATTTGTAGTTATAGCATCGAGTCCAGTCTCTATGAAATCTCAGTCAAAACTCACTGTGAGGGGTCATATGTCCTGGTTGACCTGTGACCTGGGTATGTCCTGAATACCCCTGTCCTCATTCCTACATATGTCCACTTCACTTCATTGAGAGAATCAAATGACCTGTTCCTCCAATGGGCTTCTATAGGCTGCGTGATCAGGACATCAGCTCTGGAGATAATAAATATCATTTAATAGTATTCTATATAGGCTGTGTGATCAGGAAGTCAGCTCTGGAGATAATAAATATCATTTAATAGTATTCTATATAGGCTGTGTGATCAGGACATCAGCTCTAAGGATAACCAATATCATTAAATCAAATTTCTAACAATTTATGATATTTCTTCCAAATTTAAAATTAAGATATATGAGAACAAAGACATGGCTAAAAGGGAACTGGCCTACTCAAAATTTTCTTTTTAATGAGAACTTTATGGCAACCGTTTTTCACCTAAACATCTGCCAAGCTGTAATTTTAATCCACATTGACATATACTGGTTCATAATCATTTGACCTTAATATATGTGTCAATAAAATTCTATCAAGTCTCACCTTAGACCCTTTTCATATTTTCCATTTTCCATATTCTCACATCCTGGCATCTCCTCATCTACGCTGTTCATCCACAGATGAGCATCCACCGTCTTCTGTGCCAAGTCGTCGTTATAAAAGTACTTGTTTGGATCACAATAACACTTTGGTGCTAGGAATATACTGGAGTGGAGATAAGTGACACGTAAACCTGGATATTTAGGTTCGTTATATTTGACTTCGAGGTACTCAAACGCCCCTGGAACTTCTCTCCGAGCCACGGTACTGTTGTATTCAATGAGAAGGTTGAAGTAGCTCTTATTCACTGGAGCATGAAACCTGGTCTTGTCTACTGGCTCCTGAGATCTTCTGAATTCCTGGGAAAAGATATTAACATATTTATAACATAAAGTAGTTTCATGGTGTTTGCAAAGTTTTTTTTTTTTGTAGTTTTTCCTTTGTACAATATGAAATCATGTAAATTCATGAAAGTCCTGTAAAGACCTTCATGTGGAATCAGAGGCCTGACCACAACAATGTTTTTTTTTAAATAAGGATAGCATCATTATTAAATGAGTCCTTCAATAACAAGACACCAATTTGAATTTATATAAAACAATCTGAAAAATTCAAATTATAAAAATATTGAGCAGTCTAATCTACTTTCACCACCAGGCCACATTTCCCACCTGATCAGTGTCTGCCAGACTGAAGGCAAAGGAATATTCTGAATCATTCAGAGCACCATAGTAATATGTTGAAGGCATGATCTCATATTTGATTCCTGCCCTGAAATCACCCTGTAAAATTTACAAATTATAATATCATTATTATATCAATTATTTTATCAGTCAGATGTTAGTATAGCCCTTTACTTACAGTAATATACCTAACTAAAAATCTAATAGCTTATAATGAATTATTTAAAGACTACTGTTAGTGCTCACTATTTTTTATTTATTTTATATATTTGAAATAACCATGACAAATTTAGTTCAGAAAATAATAAAGCTTATGATTTTTCTCTTGCTTTGTAACCTTTCATAATTAGTTAAAGCAAACATTTCCGAGTCTCTGAAAATCCTTCCCCATATTTTCTGACCTTAGGTGATCCCCGTCTGCCGTTCTCAATCCTGAGATGTCCCGTTTCCCCCTGGACCATCTCAGAGAGGACCTTGGAGAACTCCGTAGGATGCCCCTCCTTGTCCTGCTCCAGCTGAGAGATGGGGATAAAGATGGGGTCATCCAGGAGCTAGAAGGGGGCGGTGAAATTATATTATTTTTATGACAATAATGAGAGATGTTACCTGTTGTTTTATAAAAGACATGAACTATGATTTCTACATAGGCTTAGAAATAATGTGATCAATTATATTACAACATTGGATATCATTTAAGCACCTGTCTAACTACTATTCTAACATGATAAATGTAAGGATACCATAAGTTACATTAAGTTTTGCTTTATTTTTGTTGTGTTTAATGTAACATTATATTGTATCACCCCATTAAATCAAAATTGAATTAACAACAAATCTAAAATTACATTGGTGCTTGGTTTGAGGAAGGGATGGAATATTGTTTCTCCCTCTTTGTTGATCAGGAATGAGTACACAGAGCCCCACTGGTATCTCTTCAGCACATTTTCCAGGTCTTCTATAGTAGCATCAACTCCCACCACTCCTATGGTACTGAAACAAGTATACAATATCTGAGTATAGATCAAGTATTGGTTAATACCATTTTAAACAGAATGTGGCAAGTTCATTATTTAAAATGTGCTTTTATTGCATTTAAAAACAACATCTTGTATTCATTCTGTGAGAGAAATTGAGATCGTTTAATGAGAACTTATATGTCAACTTATGTAAACAATGCAAAAAAATGACAGAATTATGACACCATTACAAATACACAGACATGATTTTGGGTTGTTAGAAAAATAAGTGGTTCAGTGGCCTTATGACCTGGGTATCTGGGAAAAGAAAAGAAAAAAAATTGATTTTTGATTTATGTCGAAAAAAAAATTATAAGGACAACTACACAACAACACAATAATAAAACTGACAGACTTTGACAGATTATCACAAACGCATTCCTGTAAGAAGATTAAAACATTTTTCTACATAATTTCTGCACACTTACTTCCCAGTGATGTTGCTGACTACTGGTATAACATAAGACACCAGTAGTCCCAGTCCCCAGGCATCCAAATATGGGGAGGTCCACAGACCCTTGGTGTTCATTGCATTAGAGGAGAGGAAGTTGAAATAATTGCTCATCTTTGAGATAAGGTTTTCTCCACTGTCTATCCTCTTCATACTTCCCCTGTGTTCACAGGCAAGTTTCCCTGGGAAGATTTCACCATCTTCTTTGGTCAGGTAGCTAAATATTCTGGCCTGATTTAGTGATGGATGTAAAATCTTACATTAAGGTTGACAATTCCCACTTTGTGAGTTCGTAAAAGAAATAATTCTAAATATTTATAGTGTTTTTGGTTATTTAAAGACAACTATTTGATAAGATGAAAAGTGCTTTTAATGAAACAAATTCTCAATAATAGTTGTTTTTAATTAAGATTCAAATATTACTCAATTTTGAAAAGTTATATAAATTTGATTACAGTAAACAAACCACAGGAGACAAAGAAAAAGAAATATTCCAACACTGGTCCGCATATAGTGCATACCTTAGGTGTCATCTGCTGGTTTTCATTCTTGACAGTGTCCCACACCTTAGTCCAGTTATATTTACATATGGGTCCCGGCACATAGCCACTCCTGGTATAGTAACCTGTAGACAAGGAACTGGGCATCTTTTTTATGTTATTATGAAAACAAATAATGATCAACCAGGGCAGTACAACTATCCATCTACTGCCCCTTTCATCTTTTTGTTATTTTTACAGCACAAATGCTGAGGAAGAAGAAAAATTCTACCCCTTTACATCCTCATTATAATTCCCATCCCTGTGCACCCTACTAGTAAGATCTTTTACCCTAACTGTGAAACAAAACAAAATCACTAGTACACTTTATAATACAAATGTATACATATATGATAATACATACTACACCAGGATTATTTCCAGCATTTCCCTTCAAACACATCTTGTCCATCATGTCATACCTAATAATACTCTAGACCATCCAATGCTATCACAGTATCTGTCAGAGCTCCCCACTCACCTGGTCCACACCTGACATTTTCACCATCTGTATCCTTGCCGTCAGTCACAAACACCAGGATGGACTGGCAACCTGTTCTGGCTTTTCCATTCAACAAGTCAAAGGCCATCTCAAAGCCTTTCCTAGGGACAAAAAAAGTCTATACATACCAAGTGTAGTCCAAGTTTATTAATAATTCTATTTTTTCCGCATTCTACCATATGAAAAACAATGTTTCTTAAGTCTTCTAATAAAAAGCACAACTAGATTTTTTAACAGTTTTCTGTGTATTGGTGATTTTTTTTATTAAACACTTCTTTAAAATTTTGTATTTCTTCTCCATGCCTCTAAAATAAGATCAAATTACATAGGCTGTCAGTCTGTCATTTTTTTTCTGCACTATGTCAATTGCGATATATAATTATATATTTTACAACCACATACTCCAATTCACTGGTGCCACCAGCCTCAAGTGCATATATCTTCTCAATGAGATCCTTCCTGTGAGCATTGGTGGCTGGCACCATTCTGTTGGCCTGACAACTGAGCACCTGAGTACGGAAGTGGTGCCACCTAGTGACAGAATTGATAACCACTGAATAAAATACATATAAAATACAATGAATAAATTAATAAATAATTTAAACAAAAACATAAAAACCATTAGTCTCTATCACAAAAATGGAAAAGCCAGATTTATGCTTGCAGTGAAAAATATAGTGTCTACAATATAATTACTAATTCTGAATAGAATAATATTCTTCAACAAATTCAAAATCTCAAATGGTACATCACGTCAGGAGTCAAAAAAATTTCTCATACACATGTTGTGTAGTACTTACTTTCCCACCTCATCCCAGTGACTAACTCTAGCACACACACACTGTGTAGTACTTACTTTCCCACCTCATCCCAGTGACTAGCTCGAGCACACACACTGTGTAGTACTTACTTTCCCACCTCATCCCAGTGACTAGCTC